CTTAGGCTGTTTCTAAATCTTACCTATGGTAAATTGTGCTGCTATGAACATAGGGGTGCATATATCCTTTCTGATTGGTGTTTCTGGTTTCTTGGGATATATCCCTAGAAGTGGGATCACTGGGTCAAATGGGAGTTCCATTTTTAATTTTCTGAGTGAACTCCATACTGTTTCCACAGTGGCTGCACCAGTCTGCATTCCCATCAGCAATGCAGGAGGGTTCCTTTTTCTCTGCATCCTTGCCAGCACTTGTCATTTGTGGATTTGTTAATAGCCATTCTGACAGGTGTGAGATGGCACCTCATTGTTGTTTTGATTAGCATCTCTTGGATGTTTAGTGACTTTGAGCATGTTTTCACATGTCTCTCAGCCTTCTATATGTCCTCTTAGGGAAAAGAGTCTGTTTATCTTCCTTTTGTTAAGTTGTATGAGTTCCCTGTAAATTTTGGATATTACACTCTTATCTGAAACAGTATTGGCAAATATGTTCTCCCATGCAGTGGGCTTTCTTGTTGTTTTGTTGTTGGTTTCTTTTGCTGTGCAGAAGCTTTTTATTTTGATGTAGTCCCATTTGTTTATTTTCTCCTTAGTTTCCATTGCCTTAGGAGCTGTATCGGTAAAGATGTTGCTACGACATATGTCTGAGATTTTGCTGCCTATAGAGTGTTCTAAGATTTTTATGGTTTCCCGTGTTACATTTAAGTCCTTTAACCATTTTGAGTTTGTTTTTGTATGTTGTAAGTTGGTGATCTAGTTTCTTTTTTTTTTTTTTTTTTTGCATGTATCTCACCAAATTTCCCAGGACCATTTATTGAAGAGACTGTCGAGAAAATTTTCTTGATTGCAACTATTTCTATAACATCACCATCAATGGTATTGGTCCCAATCTTCTGTGGCACTGTAATTTGCAGATGTGATGTTTAAGAGTCTACAGAAGGAAATGTGTGAGCATTCCACACACACACACACACACACCCCATGTGTGACTCCAGGAAGAGGCCCCTCTCATTTGAGAGTGTTGCCCTACCACTGTCCAGAGACACCTGGGACTCGCTGACCTCAACCCTGACTGGGTGAAGAAGTGCCTGTCTCAGGACCCCATCCAGGCTCTCTAGGTCCCCACTGCCCCAGCAACAGGGCGCCCTCTCCTGTCCCTGCAGACTCAGGTAAGTGAGGGCCAACTGCCCCAGGCCTGCTCTGAGCCCTCCAACCACCAGCCCCACCAGCTGCAGCCTGACCTGAAACTAGGTGGCTCTGAAACACGATAAGATTCCCAGCCTAAAAGGCAACACTCAACTGGCCCAGGGACACTGCTGTGCGACTGTCCTTATGGAGCTACCCGACCCCCTTAGGATGTCACAAGGAGGTCGGCCCCACACCAACCAGTGCTCACACAAGGGAGAACAGGGAAGCCTGCCTCCTGCCATAAGTTTTATTTCCCTCAAGCTGATATTTTAAAGGCCTTCAGGGGTCACTTTCTCTTCTGGAAGCTGGCCACTGACCGGCGGAGTTCTTGGCAATAATGAGTCCACAATATTGCTTTCTGGTGCAGTGGTTGAATTGCTGTAGTGAACAAAAAAGAAACAGAAATTCATGATTTGTTTAGTAGCAGACAATTGCCTATTTTAGCCACATCTATTGCCAGGTTTCTGCTTAATCTCAGGTCAAAACATACATATACAAGCACAAGAACTAAAAATAAAAAATCAATATTACTACAAATAAGTTTTTTTTTCTTAGAAAACTAAGGAGTCCTAATAAACAGTTAAATATTAAATGTGCATATGTATTTTATTTGGTATTGATTTATAATAAATAGGAAGCAAAAAATTACAACTTTAATGATTCTTTCTTGACCTCATTGCTAACCTATTTATAATTTAGTAGCATGTTTTTTATCCCCCACATTTTTTGTGTTTTTCAGTTTTAATCTTACAATTGATTTCTAGTTTCATATGATTATGGTAAAAAAAAAAGATGCTTGATATGATTTTAATCTTCTTACATTAATTGAGACTAGTTATGTGGACTATCATATCGTCTAGCATAGAAAATGTTCTGTGTGTAGCTGAAAATAATGTATATCATGTTGCTTTGGTGTATAATACTCTAAAAATACCAATTAAATCTACATCTAATCTAATGTGTCATTTAAGGCTACTGTTTCCTTATTGATTTTCTGTCTGAATATTCTATCCATTGATGTCAATAGAGTATTAAAGTCTCTTACTATGAGTCTATTATTGTTTTTATCTTTCTTCATGTCCATCTATATATATTTTATTTATTTAGTTGCTCCCATATTGGGTATATAAATGTTTACAAGGATTAATGCCTTTATCATTATAAATGTCCCTTTTGTCTCTTATTATAGCCTTTGATTTAAACTCTATTGTGTCTGTACAAGCATGGCTACCTCAGCATTATTTTGTTTTTTCATGAAATATCTTCTTCCATTCCATTACTTTCAGTAGTATGTGTCTTTCGACCTAAATTATCTTGTAGATAGCATGTGTATGGGTCTTGTTTTCTTATTCATTCTGCTACCCTATGTCTTTTGATTGGACCATTTAATCCATTTCTTTTTTTTAAATATATTTTTATTGATTTTTTACAGAGAAGAAGGGAGAGGGATAGAGAGTTAGAAACATCGATGAGAGAGAAACATCGACCAGCTGCCTCCTGCACACCCCCTACTGGGGATGTGCACGCAACCTAGGTACATGCCCTTGACCGGAATTGAACCTGGGACCCTTCAGTCCGCAGGCCGACACTCTAGCCACTGAACCAAACCGGTTAGGGCTAATCCATTTCTTTTAAAGTGATTATTGATAGGCATGTAGTTGTTGGCATTTTATTATTCATATTTACATTCCTTTCCCCCTTCTTCTTAAAGAAGTCCCTTTAATATTTCTTGTAATATGGTTTAGAGGTGATGAACTCCTTTAGTTTTTTTCTTGTTTAGGAAGCTCTTTATCTCACTTTCAATTTTAAAGTATTACCTTGCTTTCTAGAATATCCTTGGTCATAGGTCCTTGCTTTTCATCATTTGAATATTTTTTTTCAGTCTCTTTTAGTCTGCAAAGTTTTTATTTAGAAATCAGCTGACAGTCATATGGGAGTTGCCTTATAGGTAACTGCCTTTCTCTTGCTGCTTTTAAGTTTTTCTCTTTGTCTTTAACCTTTACCATTTTAATTATGATGTATCTTGGGTCTGGGCTTCTTTGTGATAATATTGTTTGGGACTCTCTGCACTTCCTTGACTTATATTTCTATTTGTTTCATCAGGTTAGGGAAATTTTTAGTCAATATTTCTTTTTCTTTCTTCTTTTTTAAAAATATATTTTATTGATTTTTTACAGAGAGGAAGGGAGAGGGATAAAGAGTTAGAAACATCGATGAGAAACATCGATCAGCTGCCTCCTGCACACTCCCTACTGGAGATGTGCCTGCAACCAATGTACATGCCCTTGACCGGAATCGAACCTGGGACCCTTGAGTCCCTTGAGTCCGGCCGATGCTCTATCCACTGAGCCAAACCGGTTAGGGCCAATATTTCTTTTTAAAAATAATTCTTTATTGTTTAAAGTATTACATATATCTTCTTTTTCCCCCATTGAGCTTTCCCCAGTCATTCCCACCCCCCTCCCAACACATGCCCTCAACCCCCTACTGTCTGTGTCCATGGGTTATGCTTATATGCATGCATACAAGTCCTTTGGTTGATCTCTCACTCCTCTCCTCCCCGCCTTCCCTCTGAGGTTGGATGGTCTGTGACTTAATCTCTTCCTCTCTCTTTTCTCCTTCTGCTCCCCCTATGATGCAAAAGTTGATATGCTTGATGTTGTCCCAGAAGTCCCTGAAACTATCCTCAACTTTTTCATTCTTTTTCCTTTTTGCTGTTATGATTAGGTGTTTTCTGCTACTTTGCCTTCCAAATTGCTGATTTCATCCTCTACATCATTTAATCTGCTGTTGAGTCCTTTTATTGTATTCTTCATTTCAGATATTGTACTCTTCATTTCTCATTCTTTTTTTATGGTTCCTATGTCCTTTCTTATGCATACTGTCTGTTAAAGTTCTCACTGAGTTCATCAATTCTTCTCCTAAGTTCCTTGAACATCCTTATAACCAATGTTTTGAATTATGTATCTGGTAAATTGCTTATCTACATTTTGCTTAGTTCTTTTTTTTTCTTTTGTTCTTTCATTTGAGACATGTATCTTTGTCTCCTCATTTTGGTTATATCTCTGTGTTTGCTTTTGTGTATTAGATAGATCTGTTATGTCTCTCAGTCATGACATGATGGCCTTACGTGGTAGGTGTCTTGTGAGGCCCAGTAATGCCATCTCCCTGATCACCTGAGACAGATGCTCCAGGAGTGTTCCTTGTGTACGTTGTGTGCTCTCCTTTTATATTTGAGCCTTAATTGCTATGAGCACAAAAGTAGGTCAGATTCACCTTCAGGCTGACTGGCTGCGAAAATTGGCCATGACCACAGCATATGAGCTGCTGTGCGTGGATGACCTCAGAGTGGCATCCACCTTACTATTTGTTATCAAGTAACACTTTCTCAGTCTTGAGAACTGATCGTGACATAGCCTTTTATTGTAAGTGACACAGGGGCATCAAATACTTTCTATGTTAAAGAACTTTCTATTTAAGAAAGAAATTGTAAATTTACAATCTCTGAAATCATTAACATTATATCTCATGCACATCTACATGTTTTAAGATAAAACCATAGGCAGTTTCACTTTTTTACCTAGGTTACTAATTTTTGCTTACAGTAATTCCACAAGTTTGGATATTTCAAAGAACTCATAAGACTCCATAAAGCATACTCACCTAAGGATTCTATTATAAAACTAAAATGCATTATTGGCAAAACAGAGTTTTAGACATGTCGTTCACTTTACATATAAAACATTTTGTTGGTTTTCCACATGGATTCAAAAAGTCACTGTATATGTTATAATTATTTTTGTTTGAGCAGTTAATTATTTTTGTAACAGCTGTCTTAAAATATATAATTTATATGTCATGCAATTCACTAATTTAAGTGTACAATGAAACAATTTTACTTTATTTATCAAGTTATATAATTATCACCACAATCAATTTTAGAACATTTTTTAGAACATTTTCATCACCCTAAAAAGAAATTTCATACACATTAGAAGTTATTCCCAGTGGTTATCAGGGGCTAGAGATTGGAGAAATTGGGAAGATGTTGGTCTAAGGGTACAAATTTCCAGTTACAAAATCAATAAGTTCTGGGGATCTAATATATAGCACAGTGATTAAAGATAGTAAAAGTTGAAATTATGCAACTATTTGACAAAAACACAAAAAATTTTTGTTGATCTAGGACTATACTCACATGAGAACAAATCATGAACCACAAAGAAAATTTAAATTTGGTCAAATGAAAGACATTTGAACTGAAAAGTAGCCTTTAAAGAGGATAAAAAGACAAACTATGGTCTGGATGTATTTGTAAGTCATATAGTTGTGTGTGTGTGTATATATATATGGAGAGAGAGAGAGAGAGAGAGATCTTTTTAAATTCAAACCCCAAACTTAAACAAAGCAGTAAAAAATGGGCAAAGACAAAAACATGGAATAGACTGAAGGAATATATATAGATAGCAAACAAACACATTACAATATGTGACCAACATATTGACATAATATGTTGACATATTGAGATAATGACATAATGAGTCACTGCATAAAGACAAATTAAAACCACAATGACATATCACATTTCTCCTAACAGAATGATCTAGATAAAAAATAGTGATTATAGCAAATCCTGATAAGAATGCAGAGAACGTGATAACTCACACACTGCTGTAAAAAATGTAAATGTATAGATACTCTGGCAATCAACTTGTGAGTTCTTATCATACAACCCAGCAATTTCACTCTTGTGTATTTATCCCTGACACAGAAAATTTAGGTTTACACACAAACCGGTACATGAACATTCTTAGCAATGTTATTTGTGATAGCTACAAACTGGAAATTACCCAAGTAATCTTTTGAAGGATGAATGGTGAAGCAATCTATGGAACTGTTTCCAGTCCTCATCATTCCTATCTCATCATCACCAGATTATTAGAAGTTATCTTTCTAAGACACAAAATATCATAACTTATTTACACTTAAATCTCTTGATTGAGAGTCATGTAAAGATGGCTCACCTCCTCCCTTGACCACGTCAAAATAACAATTAAATTATAGAACAATCAACCTGGAGAGCCATCTGGAAACTATCTGAACAAAAGTCCTATAACTAAAAATGAAAAGAAGCAGCCACAATGAGAATGGTAGGAGGAACAAATACTCAAAATGGGCTGTCCCAACACCACCAGTTCCAGGAAGAAGAGCCTACATCATCTAGATGTGAAAATCTGTGGGAATTCCACATGCCTATGTGAGACTAAAGACTGCTGGGAAACACAGGAGCCCTCCTAAAGGGCTTGCACTCAGACTCTTATGTGCATGCACTCAGCTTGGGCTTCAGCAGAGGGACAGTGACTCAAAGGGCCACCAAAATCATACAGGAGAAGTTGAGTTGTGTGGCTTCAGGGTGAGGGCTGGAGGGATCACCTCCATTGCCACTGTGTTGAGTCCTCCTCCCACATGGCCAAATCTTGATTTGCCTTAACCTGTTGAATTCCTCCTGCTCCACCTTCAAAGTCCCTACCACCATGCCTCACTCAACTCTCACACCACCCAATAACCTTTCAGCAGCAGGCATCCAGCCTTGGCCATCTCCATAGGCTGTCTTTAAAAACCCTTAAAGTTCCACAGGCCCCAGGCAGGAGACGGCTGGTCTCAGTGCACCCTATAACTTATGTTAAGTGACCTCAGGCTCAATACTTGCACCATATCTGAATTTGCATTCACCTGATGAATACCATTTCCCCCACTCTAGTGACTTCCAAAAGCACTGCCTGACCCAACTTGTGATCCACCAAGAATCTGACAGCTCCAAGTCTTATGGGCAATAGGCAGGCAATGGCTAACCTTGGGGGCCCTTGCCTTTTGCTGACCTGCTTCAGTCCCAGTTCTTGCAACAACCAGTCTTGGTTCTCAGTGTGGCATCTCCAACATGCATCCAGATCGAGCACAGGCAGCTATCAACTATAGGTCACTTTGTAGGTACTAACTGGGAGCCTCAGGTTGGTCACTGGCAGTGTCTGACATTGTCCTATCCCAGAGCCCCTCCTCAGATGCCTTAGAACCAACATACCCATTGCCCAACTTCAACCCACAACAGAGCACAACCCAATCATATCCACAATCTGCAAAACCCCAGGGTGGTCTAAGTGGACACCAGACTCCACTGTGGAGAAACAAATTTCTGAGAAATGTAATTCACTTTCTCATAAAATGTTCTTTTGGTTCCTCATTTGGTTTCAAAATCTTAACTTATTTGTATCCCTCTTTTAATATATATCAAAAGAGATATATATGTAAGACACTGGGGGGCAGAGGGTAGGGGAGACCGGGGGAAGGTCAAGGGGGAAGAAAAAGGAGACATATGTACTACTCTTTGTAATACTTTAAGCAATAAAACAAAATGTTTTAAGAAAGATATATATGTATATATGCTAACAATAAACTATAGAAAACTAAAATTATAAAAATGACATTTATATATTTTTAAAAATAACAGATAACAATAACTATAACAATTTTTATAATATAATATAAATGTATGACACTAGTCAATGATCTGTACAATTTATGATAATAAATTATTTGTATAATAATATTTACCCTTCAAATTCTGGGTTCTTTTTGTTGCAGAGTTTCCTAGTTTCACTTAGCTTCATGATTATAAGGATGGAAAATATAAAAAAAGGAAAAACAAGGAAGAAACTAAGAAAACGCCAGTTGTCTTGATGTGCATTGTAGTCCTTTTTAATAACAACTACAGCTAGAAATAAAACATAAGAGATCAGTAGATATGCAGTGAATATTTAAATACATTTATATTCCTTTCACTTTAAATATATATATGCAATATGCACACACACATGTATATACATATATATTACAATTAAAATTGTAATACCTTGCAAGCTCATATAAAGAAAATAAAAGAACATTTAAGTCACAAACTAAAATTACAATGATAATTTTAAAAATATATTTCTTACTTGTATTTTATGCATATTTGTTTAATTATTCTGCCACTGTGGACATGTTTTGAGTATTGCTTACTACATTCAACTTATTTATGACATTTATACCTTAAAAGGTAATACATTAGTAAGGCTTACATTACAAATATAAAAAGAAATGTTTTGTAAAAAAAACCAAACAAACAAAAAAACACCTATCCTCACCTGGTGGGCATGGCTCAGTGCTTGAGCATTGAACTATGAACCAGGAGGTCAAGGTTCAATTCCTGGTCAGGGCACATGCCTTGATGGGGGACTCGATCCCCAATGTGGGGTGTGCAGGAGGCAGATGATCAGTGATTCTCTCTCATCACTAATGTCTCTCTCTCTTTCTTCCTCTCCCTTCCTCTCTGAAGTCAATTTAAAAACAAACAAATAAATAAATAAATAAATAAATAAGGGGACGTGGCCCACTCTAAGTGCCAAAAGTGCGGTGGTGACATTCTCTAAAAGAGAGGAGTCCAGGGCTGGGGTCAGGAGGTAAAAACCCTATCCTCCTCACTTGCCAAGTCACATGGTTTCTCTCCTTAGTGAAAACGATTTTTAAAGGACTTGTATTTCTCCATTTAGTATTTATATTTTATGCATATAAATAAAATTCTTATTTACACTTATCTTTGTATCTATATCTATGTCTAGATAACTATATGTAATATGTGTATGTATTTTTTCTCTGATTAACATTCTGCAAAACATATTATACCCTTTTACTATTTCTTACACTTAAAAAATTGAAGTATTGGTGATAACATTGGTAAATATGTTCTCCCATGCGGTGGGCTTTCTTGTTGTTTTGTTGATGGTTTCTTTTGCTGTGCAAAATCTTTTTATTTTGATGCAGTCCCATTTGTTTATTTTCTCTTTAGTGTCCAATGCCATAGGAGCTATATTGGTGAAGAAATTGCATCGGCATATGTCTGAGATTTTGCTGCCTGTGGATTCCTCTAGTATTTTTATGGTTTCCCGTCTTATGTTTAAGTCTTTTGTCCATTTTGAGTTTAATTTTGTGTATGGTGTAAGTTGGTGGTCTAGTTTCATTTTTTGCATGTATCTGTCCAATTTTCCCAACACTATTTATTGAATAGATTGTCTTTACCCTATTGTATATCATTGCCTCCTTTGTCAAATATTAATTAATCATAAGTAATGGGTTTATCTCTGGGCTCTCTTTTCTATTTTATTGATCTACATGTCTGTTTTTATGCCATTCCCATTCTGTTTCAATTACTATGGCCTCTTATTATAGTTTTATATTAGCTAGCATGATTCCTCCAACTTGGGTATTGCTTTAGATAGTATGGACATTTTAATAATGTTAAATCTTTCTCTCCATGAACATGGTATATGCTTTCACTTATTTATAACTTCTTCAATTTCTTCAGTATCATAATTTTCTAATAAAGGTTTTTTTATATTTTCTTGGTTAAATTTATTGCTAGATACTTTATTTTTTTTGTTACAATTATAAATGAGATTGGTTCCTTAGTTCCTCTTTCTGATAGTTCAATATTGGTGTATTGAATTGGTGAACTTCTGAATGTTTATTTTGTAGTAGGGGTCCAGTGCATGAATTCATGAACCTTGAAAGGAACTGTGGGCCGGGAGGCTGCGGTAGGCACAGGGGCTGGTCTCGACCCATCATCCTCTGCGCCCCCGCCTAGCCCCTTTTGCCATGGCCCCCGGTGCCCTGTCTGCTGGCAGCCCCACTCCCACTGCTGTCGTTCCCATTCACTGACAGCGCTGGCCCCACTTGCACCCGCTAAAAGTGCTGAGTGATCGGGGCCAGTGCCAACAGCAGGTGTTAGCGGCAGCTGCTGCCCAGATTGCCCCTCAGGAGCAGGGGGAGGTGGAGAAGCCCTCATGAGTGATCAGGTCCAGCAGCCGCCGCTCGCACATGCTGATGGTCCCAAGTGCTCGGGACCTGCGCCGGGCACCAGCAGCAGGTGCGAGCGGTGGCTCCAGCATTGGCTGCTGGTGCGAGCAGGGCAGGTGCTGGCAATGGGTGCAAGCAGCAGCTCCAGTACTGGCAGCGGGTGCAAGCAGGGCTGTAGCAGGGCACTGGCAGTGGGTGGGAGCGCCAGGTGGTACTGCGACATGTGGAGCAAATATTTCCCAGTAACCACCAGAGGCTCGCCCCAATGACAGCGGCTGGCACCCTGCCTTGGTCTGGCACCCCCACTCACCTGCTCCACCATCCCACCACAGCCGATACCTGCCATGTTCTGCACATGCCTCCTGGTAATCAGCACACAACATAGTGACCAGTTGTTTGGTTATTCAGTTCTTCTGCCATTTGGTCTATTTGCATATTAATTAGCCTTTATTATATGGGATTCTGCTACTTTACTAAATTTATCAGTTCTCGTAGTTTTCTGTTGTAGTTTTTAGGGTTTTTTGTGTATAGTATCATGACACCTGCAAATAATTACAGTTTTACTTCTTTCTTTCTACCTTAGATGCCTTTTATTTCTTCTTGTTTGATTGCTGTGGCTAAAAATTCCAGTAGTATGTTGAATAAGAGTGGTAAAAGCAGACATCACTGTCTTATTCTGAATTTTAAGGGAAATACTTTTATTTTTGCCCATTGAGTATGATGTTCACTGTGCGTTTGTTTTATATGGGTGGTATTGTGTTGAGGTATGTTTCCTTTATTCATACTTTGCCAAGAGTTTTTTATTATAAATGGGTGCTATATTTTATCAAATGCTTTTTCTGCATCTATTAATACAATCATGTGATTTTCATACTTTTTTATGGGGTATCATGTTTATTGATATGCAACTATTGTACCAATCTTGCATCCCAGGAATAAATATCACTTGATCATAGTGCATGAGTTTTTAATGTATTACTGGATAAGGTTTTCCAATATTTTGTTGAGGACTTTAGCATCGTGTGAAAAAGGGATATTAGCCTATAATTTTATTTCCTTATAGTGTCTTTATCTGGTTTTGGAATTAGGATAATGCTGACTGACCTCATAGAATGAGCTTGGAAATCTTTCCTCCTGAAATTTTTGGAACAGTTTGAAAAAGATAGTTGTTAATTCCCCTTTGAATGTTTGGTAAAACTCATCCATGAAGCCATCCTGTCCAGGACTTTTGTTTGCTGGGAGTGTTTTGATTACTGCTTCAATTTCATTAGTTGTAATTGTTCATTCAGGTATTCAGATTTTTCTGATTCAGTTTTGGAAAACTGGGTTTCTAGGAATTTATCCACTTTATCCAGATTGTCCAATTTTTTGGCATATAGTTGTTTATAACATACTAGGGGCCCGGTGCACAAAAATTTGTGCACTCGGGGGGGGGGGGGGGGGGTCCCTCAGCCCGGCCTGTGCCCTCTCGCAGTCTGGGACCCCTCGGGAGATAACAACCTGCTGGCTTAGGCCTGCTCCCGGGTGGCAGAGGGCAGGCCCAATCCCTAGGTGCAGCCCCTGGT